GGAACTTGTGGTTGGTGAGGAGGAGCGATGGCTGGAGCTGGGACAATGCGAAGGTCCTGAACGTCCGGTTCGGTGGGTCTGGCTTTCGGTGCAGGTGGAGGCGTGGCGATCAATGGTGGTGTGGTTGTAGGTGGCGGTGTCGGTGGTGTAGGATTCGGTGGAGGTTCATCATGTTGAAGAAGGAGTTGACGTTGTTCTTGTGCACGTTGAGAATCCATGATCAATTGTTGCTGAGCTTGAATAAGTCGAACAGATTCAGCAAGTTGTTGTGCAGTGGAACCCAGGGATGCAAGTTCAGGTGGCACGGATGAAGTCGGTGCTGTCGTAGGTGCCGGTGTTGTAGCGTGAGGAGGGGCTTTCGGAGCTGGCCTGCGCGGTCGATCCGGTCGTTTGTCAGAGCGATGCCTGGGAGCTGCCTTGACTGCTGGGGCCCGTGGTGAAGGCTCATTTGGAGGGACCGTCGATGCGTCCATCTGTAATGGAGGTTGAATGTGGTGAGGTGGGTATGGAGAACTGGGCAAAGGTGTCGATGTCATAGTCGATGTAGGTGGTGTAGTCGATGTAGGGGATGGAGCCCGAGGGGAAGGCCACGTGGGTGGAGCGGTGGGTGCCATAGGAGATGGAAAAGTCGACGGAGCGGTGTGCACCATAGTTGGTTCAGGGGCCAAAGGCGAAGGCATGGTGGGTACGAGCTGTGGGCCTGGTACCGCATGAGGAGCCGAAGTCAATGAGGTGAACGGCAACGATGTTGGGGTTGATGTAGACGGCATGAGCGACGCTGAGGATGACCATGTAGGATGCAAGGCCGAGGGATGTCCAAATAGATGTGCATTCGGCGTTGATTGCTGCCACGTCGAAGATGGGTTCGCAGGCTGCGGTGGAGCAGGCCATGACGTTGGCGGAGTGTTCCACGGATGCATCGCTCCAGTAGATCAAAACAACAGTGAACAATCACATACAGGATTCAGTCCCTAACAGCCTAAAAAGTCTAAAAAGTCGTGCGATTATTCCCTGCACCGGGACCGTGGTCAAGTCGTGCCGCAATGGCATAAAACAGCTTCCAAGTTCCAACGAATTAAATGCACAATATATTGCACCTCACCAAATAACCATCAAGAGAAAAAGTCACCACACCTGAAAGTCATGTGCCTGCCTGTTGCAAGTGTCGTAACATGATGCAATGTCGCTGTAAAAGTGCTGCAAAAAACGGAGGTTTCTGGCAATTCAGAACGGCTTCACAGTTGAAGAAACGCATCGGCGAGGAATCCCTGGGACCACAAGATCAGCGGGACAATTTCAAAAGGCTGGAAAAACAGTATGGCCGGCTGTTGCAGTTTACTTAGATGAATTACCAACTTAAAATTCGTAAATTCGGTAGTCCGGACAGTCATCACTCACCCTGAAAAGGGTTGCCTCAATTGGCTCCATGGCACCATGTCGGAGCCACCATGGAAATCACACTAGACAAGAATGGATCATTATATGATCCGGCAGGAACTGAATCCTGAAACATGCAAACCAGCCTAGATCGTTAGATTAATAAAGGAGCCATATGAGGTACTTCTCGAAAACGATGTAGGGCATCCAATATTGTCAAACGTAGTTAAAACCAGAGTCCATAGAGTTTTGACCAGCATGTTGAAAATCCAAAAAAATGTTTCGGCGATTGTTTCCCAAAAAGACCCAAAGTTCGTCGGCGACATGATCTCGGCGAAAATATGCCAAAAAATCATAATACTGTCGGCGATATGGTTTCGGCGAAAATCTGAGGAAGGTTCTGATGCATGCAATACAGATTGTGGCAACCGTGTAGAGTCGAAACAACGCAGTGTAACAGCTTGGTCAACAGTTCAAACAGAGTTTTGCAGGTACAAGTGGTTGATCAGACCACTCATCCACCGAAATGCCATAGCTTCGTTGGACTGGATAGGCAAATCGGCTCCAGTCCCCCTGCGAATATAAACAGGTTTCCTGTAAAAGTAACACGGCAAGAGTCAAGGAAGTTTTACATCTGTTCAGATGTTACACACACACACAAAAGCCCTTTGCGGTCTCGAGAACCGCGCACAAGGTCAGTTCAGTCTGACCTAGGTGATCTCGGCAGCCGTTTGCCCTTCGTTTTGCCTCGGGGTTGCCATAGACTGCAGTGTGCAAGGGGTTGGCTCCCGCCACACATTCTGGCCTACTGACGATTTTTATCTCATTTTTGGATTGCAGGCTGGGCTGGGGCACCCACACTGGTTGTCCCCTGGTGTAAGTGTCGACAGATTGAATCACCCCTGCTGGCCAACGTTTTGCCCTTGTGGTGATCAGTCTCATATTGGTTGCAACAACTGGACACAATGCACATTTTTGTTTGGATATTGATCACCTGGTTACAACGATTTGTTCTCGACGACCTCAACCCGGTCCCAAATCCGGGTACGTCCTGTATTTTTGCAGACATGCCGGTGCACTCCAAGCTCACTGAGCGTCAGAGACTTCTGATCGAACTGCCCGGCATACACGTCACAGGACGTAAGGGTGAGGGTTCCTGCCAAACCACAGGGGCAGGTGAAGCAATCCATTGGTTGCCAATTTTGACACAGACAGCAAATTGTGGACAACCGCCGACAATGGGCTCCGGCCCACCAATGCAGGTCCCCAACACGCGCTGCACTAAGATACGGAAGAGAAGCTTCCAACGAGCATGCAAGCGTGCAATACAACATGGCATGGCATGGTTTCGAGGACAAGCATACACAATGGAACATTTTCCTCAGACTTTGATCAACAAATGTGAATCCGTACAAAAAGCGGCACCGACATCACACAATTGGTGCTCCCACAAGGACCAATCCCAGCGACTCAGGGTGATGCAATGGAACCCTGGAGGACTCTCCCAGAGTTCCTTTTTGGAACTGAAGTACTGGCTGAGCCATCAACCAATAGACATTGTGGTGCTATCGGAGACGAAGTGGAGCTTCAATTCCTGCTGGTCAGACGCACAATGGTCATATGTGCACTCAGCAACAAAAGAACCCCGCTCAGGAGGGGTGCTGATCATGATCGCCAGAAGTCTGGGGCCACCGGACTCCATCGGCTTTCAAGCATTGGAAGATGGCAGACTATTGCACGTACGTTTGCATCAGACAAAGAGGGCCATTGACATCCTGGCGGTCTATCAGCATGTGGACCACAAGACCACCCAATCCCGCAAACTGAGGGCCGACTTGTGGGCCAAACTGAATGACTATGTAGGACAGCTTCCACAGCGTAATCAGTTCATTTGCAGCGGCGATTTCAACACAGCCCTGCCGGGCCTTGCTCCTTGGACGGGGACCGGCCACTTTCACTGGAAAGGGTCCAGAACATGTGGATCACAGCACGACGACATGCATCACTTTTTGGATTTCCTGAGAATGCATTCTCTGACTGCACTCAACACCTGGATGGAGACCACAGGACCGACATACCATCATGGATTGGTTGCCTCTAGGATTGATTTCATGCTCATGAGACTACATGCATGCGACGGACAAGCCAAAGCACCAGTATATCTCAAACACGCTGAGTTTTTGCCACTTAATACCACTCATCACATCCCCATTGTTGTTTCAGTGAGACGTATTCACATGGCATATCAGGTTCACCGCATGATCAAGGCTTGCACCTTTGCGCAAAGAGCCCAATGCAGGATGGCCCAACTTCAGGATTCCGACCAATGGAGGGCACTCACATCGGCTGTTGACCAAGTCACTGAGGCGCCTATGGACCCAATGCAAGACCCTGAACAGGTCATCACGACCCTACATCAGAGTGTAATTCCCATTTTTCAAGACCTTTTTCCAGGAAAGAAATCTCCGATACAGCCAGTCGATTATGATGATTTTCATAACATGGTCCAGACCAAATGGCATCATAAGAGAGTAATCCAACAGACAGTTGCCATGAATACCCAACCGACACTGCAGGCCATTTTTCGGACTTGGTACCATTGGGGACGATTCATCTCTGCTCAGCGTGCCCATCAGAAAGAGGCCAGACAGGCCAGAGCCAAACGTTTTAATGACTTATGTCAGCAGGTTCAGCAGGCAGCCGACAGACATGATGCTCATGGCATGTTCACTATCCTCAACAAGTTTACCCCCAAAAAATCATGTGCCAAGCCACGTTTGCGTACACCTGATGGGAAAATTGCAGACCAATACACGGCGCATTCACTGACCGTTGCCTATGTGCGAACCACGTGGCAGGGACCTTCCAGCCTGCCACATTTCAGTGATACAGCCCCGGGAGTGCCTTTTTCCATTTCAGACCTCTGCACGGCTTTGCAGAACCTGCACCCGCATAAAGCAGCGGCAATGCCTTTCCTGCCAGCCACCGTGTGGAAAGGCTCTAGCCTGCAGGTTGCTGATTTCTTGTACCGAACCCTGACAACATGGTGGGGTCAATACCCTCCCTTCATTCCCCGAAGTTGGAAGGACTCTTGGATTTATTTCATCCCGAAACCGGGTAAGTCATGTGGTAGCCCCGATCAACTCAGGCCTATTTCTCTCATGGAACCATTGGGGAAACTGGTGATGGGACTTCTGACGTATCAACTTAAATGCCATCTTTCCCACACACTATGTCAGTCACCCCATTTTGGATTCCTACACATGAGATGAGCAGCTGATGCCATTGCCAGGGTGAGCAGTCATTGTAGGCAGATTAGAGCGCTGGTAGGCAATCACCGCAGGTCGGTTCATCACCAAATGCGTTCTCCTCCCATGTCGACGTTGCTGGGAGGAGTGCAGTTACTGCTTGACCTGACCCGTGCATTCGATTGTGTTGACAGGTCCATTCTCATTGAACATCTCCATGAACTTAACACACCCCACGATCTCCTCACCCTCATAACATGCTGGCACGAAAACACTCATTACAACCTGCCATTTCAACAAAATACGGATTCTGTCCCTGTAGGTGTAGGCCTCCGACAAGGATGTAAAATCGCCCCCCTATTGTGGCTGACCTACATGAACAAACTGCTTTGGCTCCTCACGCCCTTGACCGGTGAAGAATGGATCAGACAATGCTTGACATTGTACGCGGACGATTTGCATGTAGGCTGCCAGTTTCTGACCGTTGGTGCACTGGACCACCATTTGCGATGCATGGGCCATTTACTTGATTGCATTGAAAGACTCAAGCTGCAGATCTCCTTGCAAAAGTCCTATTTGATCTTTTCCCACACTGGCAGCAACGTGCGGCATGCGCTCAAAGGCCGGCTGTGCTATCTACAGCATCAAGCACACCTGTTGCTATCGCGTTGCACTGGAGAAGCTACGGCGCTACCGCTGAAAACCATGGGTCGATATCTGGGTGTGATTGTTTCTTATCATGCTTTCGAACAACAGACGTGGCTTCATCGCAAGAAGACAGCCTGGATTGCATATGCTCGACTGAAACGCTGGCTCCGTCACAGACAGATTCGACAAACTCATCGAGTATATCTCTGGCACACTTGTATCCATACAATCCTTACATATGGCATCTTCGGTACAGGAGTCACAGTACAGTCGCTCACTGATTATCAGCTTACAATATTCCAAATGATTCGACTTCTGATTGGTGACCACTCCTACATGACAGGGAACACACACCAGAGGGCCATACAGAATCAATCTCTTCCACTTCCCCTGCAGCTTCTGAAGCATGGCGCCGAGAAGCTATGGCTGAGACTTCAGAGGCGTGCTCTGCAGCTGGACTCGACAGATTTTCTACAGCAGGTGGATTGGCAGCACCATCACGACACAATGCGTTTGATTGATCAGGTCCATGGCAGCATGCCGGAAGTCCCCATCGATGGAGACGCCTTGATGAGGACGCCACAGGTGCAGTACATATGCTCACATTGCAGTTTCATCACCAACACCATTCCCAATCTCAGACGGCATCATACTGTTGCACATAACATGGCACAATATCGCACTACACCCAATACCATATTGGAAATGTCCTTACATGGCAGAGCTCAGTGCAAACGCTGTCACAAACACTTCACCACCTGGAGAAGCTTTCTTATCCATGTGGAACGCTCTTGTTGCCAGGCAAATGAGCCGCCTAGCACAGCTGCACCAGCCGCACCCGTGCTCAGTAGCAATCGGGCCGAAAGAAACAGTTTCCAGGTCACAGCACAGCCATTTTGGCCGGTCCTGAAACAGATCATCCAAGAGCAGTCATGGCACCGACTACAGGAACATCCTGACATTGGCCAGTATCTGACTCACCACTGTATGATCTGCGGCATATGGAACAATCGCTGCCAGGAACTTCATGGTCATTATCGGCTCCACCATTCTGATGTAGTGACTGGTATTTTTGCAAAAAGCGCTCAGCTGACCAAGGTCTTGAGATCCCCCAGCCCGTGTGTTCTCTGCCAACGGGAGTTCATGCATGGACACACATGCACAGTGTTCACCCAGATAGCTGCACTGCTACTGCATTGCCAGACTTCCGATGTGGATACAGACCGTGTCCTTAGGTGTGAGCTGTGCCAAACCAGATGCGATGACCTTCAGAGCTTGCATCGACATTTGAAGGCTGAACATGATGTAACCGTCTTCGACTGGAACTTTGCCAGAGACTCAGTACCGGGCTCCACAGCATGCTCTCACTGTGGCAAACCATTCACCTCTCGTGAGGGATTGAGAACTCACATTATTACTGGCAAATGTGAATTTTTCGATCCAGCAGCCACAAACCATCCTCTCAATGCGGCAGACAAGTGGCGCACTCAGCTGACACTTGGGTTTTTGGACAAACAACATCTCTCAGCTCACCAGCGGTTACAGCTGACGCTGCATTGCCAGCTATGCGGTGAAGTCTATGTGCGATCCAATGATCTCAGCGCGCATCTCCAACAGGCACATGGGCAGCTCTGGCAAAGAGCCAATGACATGGTCAGGTACCTGCTCCAAACCCTGATCAGCAGCCATGGTTGCATGTGCAATCCATCGATCAACGACGATAGCAGGTCCCACATATGCCCAGGAGTTCGACAGATGGCCATGATTTTCTACACCAGTGAAACAGAGATGTTCATACCACAGCAATACAATGAGCAAACCCTGAGACTCACTCATCGTGCATTGGCCAACCATGCGCGATTTCAGATGCTGCTTAATGTGGTATCGGACAGAGATTTCAGTCACCTATGGCATGCCCCGGCCCTCCTCCAAATGTTCAGGCATTGGTGCACTCTGTGTGGAGCTTGGTTCCCAACTGCAGCCCTGATGACACATCAGCTGATTCATCATCATGATGCTTGTACGTGGGCGGCCCAGCTCAAATTTCAGCTGGTTCAATGCATGCAGATGGAACAACAACAGGACTATCAATGCAAATTCTGCAAGTTGTTTTTCAATGACAGCACGGTTGATCCTGACGCTGCGGCTGAACGAGCTGAACAACTGCAGATACATTTTGCCTCAAACTGCCCTGTCCTTCAGCAAATTGCCCTAGTGCTGCAACCACTCCATGGACGATCAATTGATGCTCGATCAATCGGACACGGAACTTCTGCAGTCCTTTCAACACCTGGGGCCACTCCTGATGCAGGCGAGCCAGTACATGCGGGAAAAAGACGAAGAGCCGCTGAACAAGAAGCTCAAACAGGAGCCCGTCGGCGTCGACAAGGCCGCAATGCCACCCAGCCAGCAGAACAAAGCCCTGCTCACGCTGATCCATCATCTGGCCAAGGTGGTCCTTCAACACGATCGGGCAATCCAGATGGATCGCAAACAGGACTCCTTCGTTATCTTTGCCCAAGTCAGCGCGGAGGGAGCGCTCCCGTTGCTGACGTTGAAAGCCAAGGAATGGAAGGACATGACGGAGAAGACCACCACACTCCGCACCTACCTGCTGACGCACCTGATCCTGGAGATACAACAGAGGGCCATCAAGCTGTCCCAGAGCTCCCAGGGGACCCAGCTGTGGGACGTAGCAGTATCCAAGGGGGTGATCCTCCAGGACGGATCATGGCCGTTCCAACAATGGTGCCACACGGAGAAGAAACTCACCAAGTCCCATCGAGCGCCACTCCCGATGAGCCGCATCCTGAAGGATCTGCAGTTCATGGTGGATCTCCTGACCGACAACGACCATGTGATGCGCTTCCACTCACTGAGGCCGCAAAGCCAGTGTGGTGCCGTGGATGCTACAGCTCAACATGCGCGAGGACGATCTTTGGAGACTCTTTCATCAGCTGAGTCAGTCCACCCTATGGGGACTCATGGGCCTGAGCTTGAAGCAGCACAACCAACAAGTCAGCAAACCAGCGCAGCTGCTGGAACAGCTGACCAACATTCAATTCTAGGCAGCGGAGGAAATCTACAGTTGCCGCGCGCAAAAAAAGAAATTAATTGAACTTTCCTTTAAATCCTGTCGCACCTGATGGCATGGTCCGGCCCCATAGGCTTGAGGTTTGAAGAAGGTTTGCTTGAGGTTTGTACATATGAAAAACCAGCATGCCAGAGCTTTGCCACTTGAAGTGTTCCTGCCATTGTAAACTGTCTGATTGGACGCGTGTTCTGAGTTTGTTTGGGGTTTGTACATATGAAAACACAGCATGCTAGAGTACTGGCAGCCAACGTGCATTTCTCGAGTCTTTCCCGTTGGGTTGATGCTTGCTTATGTTGCCGGAAGCTTTAGTGCAGACCTCAATGTTTGAGAGAGAATGGCAGGTCCATGTGTCTCACAGGAAGTTTGCCACTCAGCAACTACTGTGTCTGTAGTCTGGCTGCTGGCTTTAGATTTCATCTTTACTCGATGTGTCTCCCCTTGCCCCAGAATTTCAATGTTGGATGTTGTGCAAACGGGAGGCCTCTTAGATAGATCCCGCACCGGCGCGTTCGATTTTTCACATCTTTTCAAGTGCGGAAGCCTTCCTACATTTAGAGTGGAGACATTGGGCACTTGCAGCTTCATACGCTAAGTAGAAGAGACCATATGATGATGTTACAGGTCACCTGAAGGTTGACAATGCCCTGCACCCGTCCTTCTTGCCAGGCCGAGCGCTGTCGACATTCCAAAAGTTGCAGAAGTCGCAGAACCCAAGAGTGAAGGCTCGGCTATGAGATGTCAGGGGGTAGTACGGCGTCCAACCCCTCCACCCCCGTAGACTCTTAACGCCTGGTGTGTCTGCGTGTGTTTCTTCCTGCTTGAACTGGCCGTGGAGTAATTCTAGTCCACCATAAAATAACAGTGTATTCTTAAAACGGGCCGAAATTACTCCACGCATTTTGTATTGGGCCTGCCATATATTTCTGCATTTTTTACTCCGCGGATGGTCTACTCCATATTTACTCCACATCTTCTCTATTGGCTGAAGCATGTGGACGCCTCTTGGAATTACTCCGCCGGTCTTCTCAGCTTGTTGGTTCAGACATAGCTGCTTGTATCTGTGTCAACATTGGCATTGGGGGCAGGGGGAGCTCATTGAATCCAATTCAAGCCTCAGAAAATATTGTGATTCTGGAGACTAATGTGTGTACCTCCTCAGTGCCAACATGACATAGAAAAAACCGGTGTATGATCTGTACTTCTGGCATGATGACGCATAAAGAGAGTTACGTGCTTCGCTGCTTGAAGAATGGAACTTTATGCTAGACACACGGCTCGGTTATGCGAGCATCTGTAAAAGGGTTGCTGGGCACACTTATTGGGAGATCTTTTTTTGGCGCCGCGGCATTTCTTTTCGTTTTGGACCGTTTGTGTTTCCTTTGACGGAAGCCATTTTTAGCTTCAATTTCTGGAAGGCCGCTTCTATTGTTTCATTAGGCGAAGCCAAAAATGGCTTCATTTTTGCGATCAAACTTTGGCTTCGAGTTTGGAGCCAAAACTTGTCTTTTTTGGAGTTTGTGGCAGATAATTCCCGCTTGGCTTGTGTTGGAAGCGGCAGGATGCGAGCAGAGTGGGTTGTCGCTGCTCTGCTGCGGTTCTACAAGCATGAATCCGGCAGCTAAGCTCTGAAACAAGTCCCTTGCCACAGGCTGCTCCATAACGGTGTATCCATGAGTTGACACATGCTGCCTTCCAGGCTTCAAGGCGATGCAACGGAACTGCAGAGGTACTTCCAAGTGTCTCCAAAGTTGCTGGGGTTTGGAGAAGCTTGTCCTGGCGTCTTGAAAGTGTCATGCCGTGGCGTGGCATTGTGGGCTTTACGAAATTTGGCGACAAGCGTGTCAATGATCTGGATTTGCTTCAAGGTTATGTAGTTGGAGTCGCATGCTTGCACCCGGAAATTCCATGTAGGCGGATCTGCATACACCTCGCTTCCCGTACGTCTTGATCATCTATTCTTTACCCGTCCGTTTGTTTGCAACGCTTTGTTCCTCTTCCTTCTGCGGTATTTTCACATGTACAAACCTCAAACAAACCTTGTTAATGTATGCACGCAGCTCATTTCATTGAGGAATGAGTACTTTCTTGGTGACACCTTCGATGTGCTGTGTTTTCATATGTACAAACTCCAGACATACTTTGAAAACATCTCTGTGCCCCGCATTCTATTGGAGAAAGCCATGCCATGACCACACCTTCGATCTGTTGCTTTTTCATATGTACAAACCCCAATCAAACTTCAATTCTAGGCAGCGGAGGAAATCTACAGTTGCCGCACGCAAAAAAGAAATTAATTGAACTTCGCTGTTGCCTTTAAACTCCTGGCTCGCACCTGTCGCCCCTGATGCATGGTCCCGGCCCCTAGGCTTGGGTTGAAGAGGGTTGCTTGATGTTTGTACATATGAAAAACAGCAAATTTATGCCAGAGCTTTGCCACCTTAAGTGTTTCCTGCCCTTGTAAACTGTCTGATTGGATCGCGTATTCCGGATTTTGTTTGTGGGGTTTGTTATCATATGAACAAACACAGCTTGCGTGCTGGGAGTACTGGCAGCCAACGTGCATTTCTCGAGTCTTTCCCGTTGGGTTGATGCTTGCTTATGTTGCCGGAAGCTTTAGTGCAGACCTCAATGTTTGAGAGAGAATGGCAGGGCCATGTGTCTCACAGGAAGTTTGCCACTCAGCAACTACTGTGTCTGTAGTCTGGCTGCTGGCTTTAGATTTCATCTTTACTCGATGTGTCTCCCCTTGCCCCAGAATTTCAATGTTGGATGTTGTGCAAACGGGAGGCCTCTTAGATAGATCCCGCACCGGCGCGTTCGATTTTTCACGTCTTTTCAAGTGTGGAAGCCTTCCTACATTTAGAGTTGAGACACTGGGCACTTGCAGCTTCATACGCTAAGTAGAAGAGACCATATGATGATGTTACAGGTCGCCTGAAGGTTGACAATGTCCTGCCAGGCCGAGCGCCGCCGACATTTCAAAAGTTGCAGAAGTGGCAGAACCCAAGCGTGAAGGCTCGGCTATGAGATGTCAGGGAGTAGTGCGGCGTCCAACCCCTTCACCCCCGTAGACTCTTAACGCCAGGTGTGTCTGTGTGTGTTTCTTCCTGCTTGAACTGGCCGTGGAGTAGTTCTAGTCCACCATAAATAACAGTGTATTCTTAAAACGGGCCGAAATTACTCCACGCATTTTGTATTGGCCCTGCCATATATTTCTGCATTTTTTACTCCGCGGATGGTCTACTCCATATTTACTCCACATCTTCTCTATTGGCTGAAGCATGTGGACGCCTCTTGGAATTACTCCGCCGGTCTTCTCAGCTTGTTGGTTCAGACATAGCTGCTTATATCTGTGTCAACATTGGCATTGGGGGCAGGGGGAGCTCATTGAATCCAATTCAAGCCTCAGAAAATATTGTGATTCTGGAGACTAATGTGTGTGCCTCCTCAGTGCCAACATGACATAGAAAAAACCGGTGTATGATCTTTACTTCTGGCATGATGACGCATAAAGAGAGTTACGTGCTTCGCTGCTTGAAGAATGGAACTTTATGCTAGACACACGGCTCGGTTATGCGAGCATCTGTAAAAGGGTTGCTGGGCACACTTATTGGGAGATCTTTTTTTGGCGCCGCGGCATTTCTTTTCGTTTTGGACCGTTTGTGTTTCCTTTGACGGAAGCCATTTTTAGCTTCAATTTCTGGAAGGCCGCTTCTATTGTTTCATTAGGCGAAGCCAAAAATGGCTTCACTTTTGCGATCAAACTTTGGCTTCGAGTTTGGAGCCAAAACTTGTCTTTTTTGGAGTTTGTGGCAGATAATTCCCGCTTGGCTTGTGTTGGAAGCGGCAGGATGCGAGCAGAGTGGGTTGTCGCTGCTCTGCTGCGGTTCTACAAGCATGAATCCGGCAGCTAAGCTCTGAAACAAATCCCTTGCCACAGGCTGCTCCATAACGGTGTATCCATGAGTTGACACATGCTGCCTTCCAGGCTTCAAGGCGATGCAACGGAACTGCAGAGGTACTTCCAAGTGTCTCCAAAGTTGCTGGGGTTTGGAGAAGCTTGTCCTGGCGTCTTGAAAGTGTCATGCCGTGGCGTGGCATTGTGGGCTTTACGAAATTTGGCGACAAGCGTGTCAATGATCTGGATTTGCTTCAAGGTTATGTAGTTGGAGTCGCATGCTTGCACCCGGAAATTCCATGTAGGCGGATCTGCATACACCTCGCTTCCCGTACGTCTTGATCATCTATTCTTTACCCGTCCGTTTGTTTGCAACGCTTTGTTCCTCTTCCTTCTGCGGTATTTTCACATGTACAAACCTCAAACAAACCTTGTTAATGTATGCACGCAGCTCATTTCATTGAGGAATGAGTACTTTCTTGGTGACACCTTCGATGTGCTGTGTTTTCATATGTACAAACTCCAGACATACTTTGAAAACATCTCTGTGCCCCGCATTCTATTGGAGAAAGCCATGCCATGACCACACCTTCGATCTGTTGCTTTTTCATATGTACAAACCCCAATCAAACTTCAATTCTAGGCAGCGGAGGAAATCTACAGTTGCCGCGCGCAAAAAAAGAAATTAATTGAACTTTCCTTTAAATCCTGTCGCACCTGATGGCATGGTCCGGCCCCATAGGCTTGAGGTTTGAAGAAGGTTTGCTTGAGGTTTGTACATATGAAAAACCAGCATGCCAGAGCTTTGCCACTTGAAGTGTTCCTGCCATTGTAAACTGTCTGATTGGACGCGTATTCTGAGTTTGTTTGGGGTTTGTACATATGAAAACACAGCATGCTAGAGTACTGGCAGCCAACGTGCATTTCTCGAGTCTTTCCCGTGGGGTTGATGCTTGCTTATGTTGCCGGAAGCTTTAGTGCAGACCTCAATGTTTGAGAGAGAATGGCAGGTCCATGTGTCTCACAGGAAGTTTGCCACTCAGCAACTACTGTGTCTGTAGTCTGGCTGCTGGCTTTAGATTTCATCTTTACTCGATGTGTCTCCCCTTGCCCCAGAATTTCAATG